AGCTCCAAACGTGGCGGCGTAATGGGCAGAAGGGAAAGCAACAGCGGCGGGTGCCAAAGGTGTCTGCAGCAAAGGTGGGAGTAGGGAGCTCTCTGTGCTTGGCCATGATCGCCCATTAGGAGCGGCTGGTGGCGAGGAATTTCGGCCCGCCGGGCGCTCCTAACGGCAAGTCTCCCCGCCCTTCCCCCTTATTTTGCATATTTTAAAATAGGCCTAAATTTGGGGGGAGGGGCTTAATTTGATTTTATGCCCAAAAAACATGCTGGGCCTTCCTATTGGTGGAGGCCGTATTGTTGGAGAAACACGGTATATAAATATTGTAAATAAATAAAATAAAATGTATTTGTTTTTTGTTTAAATAATTTATATAGCCTCCCATCTCACAGGAGTGAATCTGTGATGTACAAAAATTAAAAACTCAAGAGCTGCAAACCAATGATGCCCAAGGTAAATAATACATACCAATAAAAAAATTACATCAACAGAGTTTAACTTCCTGGTCCAGATGTCTTGGAAAATAAGGCTAAAAATCTGGATATCCAGGGTGATGCTGTTCAACAATGCAGATGCTGCCACTGAGAAGGCATAATTCCTAGGTCCACCAAGGTGACATTATTCTGATTATTGTGTTGCTTTGCATTTACACTGAGTGCTTTTTGTACTGGAGACAAATTCCTTGTGTGCAATCACATGGCCAAATAAAGTATTCAATTCAATTGGTTAATAAAAGAGATCCAAAGCATGTCCCTTCTGCTAGATGTGTGGGATGAACAGAAACAATTACAGAAAGCTGGTCTCCTATACCATATAGTGCTTTATAAAGTTGTTCAGATTTACTTGAGTTGAAACCTTACTGTATAAGTGAAATTATTTCACAGATAATCCAACAAATACCTAGAATAATCCTCACAGCAGCCCTGCATGTATTTATGAGCTTTCTTTTTCCAAGAAACAATTGTGACACAATTTTATTAAAGCTTCTGTATATCATTAACCTTTCTCTATATGAAATTCACACTCTATGTCTGGCTTAAACTGTACGTGATTTAAACACAAAAAAAGGTAGAAAACTGTCCTATTGATTCTTTTCATTTTTCTTATATGTATCCATTCCATGTATTCATAACTATGTTTATACTTATGCCTATTATCTTGTAAGCGATTGACAAATCAAATAAATAAATAAATAAAAATAGAAAAATGTGAGATAGACAGCATCACCACCAGATGGATTCATAATTGGTTGACAAATCACACTCAACTTGTAATCCTTGATGGAACTACATCTACATTGAAGGAAGGAAGCAGTGGTGTGTCATAAGGTTCTGTTTTAGGCCCAGTACATTGTAATATCTTCATAAACAATTTAGATGAAGGAATATAAGGAAAACTCATCATATTTGTAGAGAAACCCCAAACTAGCAGGAATAGTCAACGCCCCAGAAGATAGGCTCAAAATCCAGATGGATCTTGATAGACTTGAACACTGCCCTTATCTAACAAAATGAAATTCAAATGTAGAAAAAAGTAAGGTTTTATACTTAGGCAAGAAAAGGTGGAACTTGGCTCAATAGCAGTACAGATTAGGTGAAACTTGGCTCAACAGCAGTAACCACGAGAGGGATCTTGGAGCCCTAATGGAGAATCACTTAAATATGAGACAGCAATGTGGTGCAATTGTCAAAAAAGCCAACACAATCCTAAACTGTATTAACGGGGATAAAATCAAGATCAGGAAAAGTGATATAGTACTATTGCTTTATAATGCCTTGGTAAGATTGCACTTGGAATATTGCATCTAATTTTGGTCACCACACAATAAAAAAAGATGTTGAGACCCTGGAAAAAGTGCAGAAAACAACAAAGATGATTGTGGGGGGCTGGAGGCTAAAGCATATGAAGAATGTTTGCAGGAATTGGGTATGTCTAGTCTAAGTGAAAAGAAGAAGTAGGGGTTGCACAATTAGCAGTGAAATTTAATATATGGGTACTACTGTTAGGTGCAGGTTTACATTCAGTATTAGCTTTGTACATGGAAATGAATATGGATTTTTTAAATTCGTATTAGAGAGGCTATAGGTCTATAGATGTAGAAAACATCATTCACTAAGCTTACAATTTTTAATCATTACTTTTCTCATTTATTTTAACATTTTCCATATGCTGCATAATACTGTCTCATTCTAGAAAGGAATTATACTGGTTTTACATAATTTCTCTCTAAGATGTATAGTAAATTCTCCACTAGAAACTCTTGTACTAGACAAAACATGTAAATATACCTTTGCAAATGTGGGAATAGGCAAAGCTCAGCTGAAAATTCAATTTTCAATATAAATTGGCTTAACTTTCAGTAGATCTGTTCCTAAAATAACTCAATATTAATTTAGACTACAAATTTGTATGTGATAATTATTTTGACAAGATAACTACTGAAAAATATGCCATGTAGTTCATTACTTTTCAACTGCATGTTGCTTGAATGTTTGCTATTGTATTCACGGCAGTGAAGAGATGAACATTTGGTTCCCAGTTCTTGTTCAAAATGATGAATTTATGCTCTAATTCACATTAATTTCTGTATATGTATTTCCATCACATATGTATTTTTAAGGGCAGTTCAGATCTATGGTCAAATGTCCTTTATCTCCTAGGACATAAGATCTGATATGAAAATAGAATTATCTCTACTGAATTCACTCTCTCAACAGTTTACTTCCCTATTAATAACTTCACACAGCTGAAGTACCTTGGATTTTTGTTGTTGTTTCTATGGCAACCATTTCTGAAAGCACAGAATGTGCCAAGCAAAGCTAATGTTCATCAGAACATTTTCATGCATTAAATTCCATTAGTCATTTGTGTATGCTGTAAATAAACAGTCTATTGCTAGCCTTTGGATGACTACAAGAATCCTCAGATTCAGATATCGATATTCTTATCCATGAGTGACTGTAGAACCTCAAAGCCAAATATATAACATTAAAAGCATTTTTATCTAACACAGCTTGGACCTACCATATCTTTCTGTGTAGTTATGTGTGAAGCTGGGATCAGGAAAAAACAGATTCAAGTTTCCATGCAACCATGGAATTCACTTGCTATTTCTCTCCACAAAACCTATCTCACTTGGTTGCAGCTGAGAGAATAATCTGAGGAGTGACTTCATGAAAACTTCTCAGGGAAAAAATGGGAGATACATGTAATGCAATAATAAATCATTTACTCCCAATTGTCTTGTTTACGATCAAATATGTGATTTAGCACAAATTTAGTTTATTTTCTACATACCTGTATTCCAGGAATTATGAGCAGGTGCCTTTGTACCTTTTGCCAATTCCTCTTTACAGACAGTAGCTGGAAATGTTGACTCCACAGCCACAGGACAGGATTCATCCTCACTAAAGATGATCAAGTCCTTATAAAAAAAAAACACCTGGTAATTAGTCTAGGAAGAGTTAGAAAGCAGTTTGGAAGAATATGCAAAGGAGAAAATATTTTGTGGCATTTAACCAAATGGTCAGGAAATTAAAAACTGTACTACTGTATATATGAATCAATATTTCTTACATGATACCTTATTTCAGACATAAATATTTTTATCTATAAAAGATATTGTTTATTGAAAAAATAAGTCTACAGATGTGAAATATATGTTTGGAACACATTTTATTTATTGATAAGCACCCTTCAAACAACCGAATCCTAATCGTAACCCTAAACCTTCAGGCAATAAGTTATTTTGAAATGAAAAAATAATTTGAAACAAATAGCAGGTTTCTAATTTTTTTCTTACACAACATCATTTAATTATTTCAGAAATGCAACAGCCTCTCTTCTGAAATTTGGATGCCCTGACCCTATGGGAACCCATAATTATTCATTAAATTGAATAATGTAATATTCAACTGAATATTAAATATTTAAGTATTGAATATTTAAATTGAACAGCCGTATACATTTTCTAAATAAATGTACTTTAGAGTAATTAAACTACACATTTCCTGCTTGAGAATCCTTCTTTTAAGTTGTCTCTCTCCCTCTCTAAATAAAATGTTTAATTTTGCCAACTCAGATTTAATTAAAAAAAATAAACATTAGCTATTTACAAATCCTAGTTTCTTATCCACTGATAGATGTATATTTAAAGTGTTTTTAGAATCTTCTTACCTTGACTTCATTTTAAAATTCCTGTTTAAATACTGAACTATAGAGAAAAATATTTCTAATGATTTCTTATCTAGATATCACAGCTAGATCATCTCAGTTTCCCCAAGCATTTCATAGACTGTTGACAAGTAATCATTTTATCATCTACCGTATATAAAGTTTGATTTTTACGTCCTTGCTGCTCCTTCTCTCAAGAGTAAAGCTGACAGAATAAATCTTATATTAGTTTCCTGAAGTAATTGTAAGTAGTTGAAGCATTCATGCAATAGTCTATTAGAATTAGATCAGACTAATTTCATTTCTATGAGCTGAAAATAAAGGTAGTCAATTTTGCAGCCTCAAACACTCAGACTGCTCTCAGGTAAACCTGGTCTGATCTACTGTAGACCATCAGAATTTTATGAGATTCTACTGTGACACTATAACATGTCATAATGATAGCAGCCTGCCATACATTCAATAGAGTATTATTTGTATACTGGGGGCTTTTCAAACCCTCTTCAAGTGACCTTCTGGAGGAAGTACTCCATGAGATATAAAGAATTGCTACCTGAAGAAAAATCAATGTCTCCTAAAGAAATACAAATGCTTCCCTTAAGTAGAGAAGGTTAGGGTGTTTGTGTTTTAAAATACAAACTGAATTGAATTCAATGTACATATGAGTTTCTTGTATCTCAACCTTATTTGCAGCAATTTTTTGACTAACTATGCAATCTTGTATATGAAAACTGAAATCAATACAATTTGGCATGAAATGTTTTAGAATTATGCTGGAATGAGAAGCAGCGATAAAGCTTTCATTTTTATTTTTTATTAAATTATATTTAATAAATTATACCTCATGTCAAACATAGACAAAATAAAAATGAATTTCACCACTCAAAAAAAGGAATGGCACAACAAATAAAAAATATAGTCTCCTTTTTCAAAGTAAATTCCCTTTTTCAAAGTAAGAAAACTTCCCTAACCAGTTCTAATCCTAATATTCATAAAACTCCCGCAGAATATATTGTGTTCCAGGATAATGTATATCTTCTAAATATTTTAAGCTCGTTATATTAATGGTTATTTCTGCTGTTAATAAGTTATCCTCAGGAGAAAGTTATATACAGGTCAGGACAGATAGAACATGGTGAAACAGACTGACTCCTGATTGGCAAAGATGAGGTGGCATACTCTCCCCTTATTTATTCAACCTATATGCTGGATATATATTAAGAAAACCTGGAATGGAAGAAGATAAACATGGTTTTATATTCTGAGAATAAGCTAATAATCTGTCCTATGTTAATTACACTACTCTGGTAGTTTAAAATGCAAAGTATCTGCAAATTCTAGTAATAAAAGTTAAGGAGTAAAGTGAAAAAAATAGGAACAAAATTAAATATAAGAAGACCAAACGAATGCCAACAGGTAAAACAACAACCCTTAACACTTATAATGAAGATACTAAAGGCACAAATGACCAGGCTCATATTATCCTACTTCAGACATATTAGGTGAGGACCCAAGTCTCTGGAAAAGGCTCAAATGCTGGGAAAGGTGGAAGGAAATAAAAGAAAAGGACAGCCAAAAATAAGCGGCAATGAGTGCACCATTGGGAGACTTGAAAGATTAGATTAGGAATAGAATGTCACTGAGAAAATCTGTGTGATTGCTGAGTATCAAAAATGGCTATATGACACATAATCAAATCAAATCAAGAGATATTTCACATTACTAATAATTTAAAAGCACACAATGCATTTCACAGGTCTCAAGGGAAAAAAAACCTTAAATTCTCCCTATTTCTGTTTTTTTAAGGAGGCTCTATTGTAACCTAACTTCAACTAGTACAGATCAGCTGAACTAAGGATTTTCACCAGATCTGAAGATTATTATGTTCATTTTTTCTTAAGAAATACTTTACATAAAAAGTAAAACAAGATTAGATGTACAAGAAATCTATCACAAAATTAATGTACACATGGTGTTTGATTGATTATACAGTTATACGCCCCCAAAACATACACTTTAGCCATTACAAAGATACATACATACAAACATACATACATATACATATGTGTGTTTATGTGTGTATTTTAACGTGTATGTGAAAAATACCTGAAACAAATTGATTTACTTATGTATTCAAAAATGGTATTTATTGTCAATCATAAGTGTGCCACATTTAACATTACGTTTCATAAAAAAAACTCACATTCTCAAATGTTGCACAACTGAGATATTTAAAATACTTTTTACTCTTTGTAAGAAAAATCAGAATTTACAAAAGTTGGTATGAAGACCATAGCACAAACTGTTTAACAAACTGTTCAAACAGTGCTTGAAACAGTTTTCTGAAGTAGAAAAACAACAGGTGTTAAAAGCAGCACTCAGTCTGGTACAGAAAACACTTTAACCACACATATAGCTATGGGGAAACTGAATTCAGCTCTTTGTAAACCACAGCTTTTGAAGCAATCCTAGATGCATAAATAAAGAGAAGGAGGGAGAAACAGCCACCTTGGGACCTGCAACATAGGAGACCTGCTACAAAGCAGCTCCCTTGCCATCTGCCCTACACATTCAACAAATCTGATTGTACAGGTAGGAACACTACCTGTACACGAAGGAACGCCGCTTTCGGTCTGATCTAAGTATAGTATATAAAATCATACATTGCAATGTCCTACCTGTCAATGAATACTTCAGCTTCAACCATAACAATACAAGAGAAAACAATAGATACAAACTCAAGGTTAATCGCACCAAACTTGATTGCAGGAAATACGACTTCAGCAACAGAGCGGTCAATGTCTGGAATACTCTACCTGACTCTGTGGTTTCTTTCCCAAACCCCAAAAACTTTAACCTTAGACTTTCTACTATTGACCTCACCCCCTTCCTAAGAGGCCTGTAGGGGGCATGCATAAGCGCACCAATCGTGCCTACCATCCCTGTCCTATTATTTCTTTTATTTTTCTTATATGTATCCATGTATTCATAACTATGTTTTTACTTATACCTATTATCTTGTAAGCAATAGACAAACCAAATAAAATAAAAATAAATAAAAATAGAGATCTGGGCTACAAACATCTAGATCAGGGGTTCCCAACCTGGGGTGCTCGCACCCCCTGGGGGTGCGAGATGATATTCCAGGGGGTGCGAGAAAAGTCCAGGTAAATAATAGGATATTGGCTATATGTTGGCATTTTTATTTATTATGCAATGGATTAACTTTGTTTTCATTTTAGAGTTAAGTATCGTTATTTAGTGGCCGTCACATACATAGCTGAAAAGATTCAATCCTACCATATATTTAACGCGTTCAGTAGTTCCTAAAGTCTAAATTTCAGGGGGTGCAAGGTTCGAGTGAAATTTCTTTAGGGGTGCAGGGCGAAAAAAAGGTTGGGAACCACTAATCTAGATGATTACTCTGTAATAGCAAAGAGAATCTCCTATACTTTTTTGCAGCTATCATGCCAATTTTTGTAACTCAGACATGGTAGTATAAGCATAGATCCCCAATAGGAATTTGTAAGAATAATATAGAAGGAAGCAGGGGGAAGAGATGGGGGAGAGGGAAGGGAGATGTTGCCGCCACTGCTGTTCTATATGCTCCCCTGTTCTGCTTCTAAATCAGTAATTTCCTTAGCAGCAATACCATACACTGGAATCAGAGTTCTCAGGGGCATCTCTTATCAGAAAAACTTTAAAGTTTTGGTGCCATCTAATAATAACCTACATTTTAGTGCATTCTTTTGGGGAAATCTTTCTGAGAAGAGAAACTGTGAGTGTTGTATGCACAGATAGTTGTACTTTGAATGGGAGAGTGAGAGGAATCTTTCCCCTCCCCAGAGCTACTAGTATAGGAAGAGGGAGAAGCTACTGCTGATGACCGAAGCAGTGAAAGGACACCTTGATGGGCCTAGTCTGCTGCTGCTGCAGCAACATGAAAGAAGTGGCAAGTAATCCTCCTTTTCCCACTTTCTCCTACCTTAAAAGCCATAGCCTCAGTTAGGGGACAGAGGGGTGCTGAGTGATTTGCCTTGGAACCGAAAGAGATGTATCACCCACAGAGCAATGCAAAATAATGTTGGTTTGCCTTTAGCATATATTAATCAGGTTCACCCATCACAAATTCAATGGTTGTCGTTAGGGAACATTATCAAATTGGAGTAGAGGGAGAACCTACACTTTTTGCTTTATAAGTAAACTAAAAGAAGTCAATATCAGTTTTTATGGAATAATTCTAGTTTGACA